TGATAGATAAACAGCGACTACAATAGTATTAAAAAGATACACAGATCGTCATCCGCGAGTCAGACACCAAAAGCTCTGCATACGCGAATTACATCGCATACCGATTCCCGTAAACGTAATACATTCACAGCAACAACACCAACTGCAAACGCAAAGCCTCTGACGACACAACCAGCAACCCCACTCACAACAGCGTAACCTGCTTATGCATAAGGGTCCTTATGTGGCCAGGGCACTCACCTTGCATGAGATATGCTGGCAGCACAGGAGGTGGTTTAGTGTTGGCGTTAAGCGCCGGCACTTCCTGGGCGTAGCTACCTGGAGGTGAACTCACCACCGCAGGCGTGCTCACAAACCCTACAGCGATAACAGCACGCACACAAGATAGGGCAGAGATGAGGTGCCGACAGGAGAAGAGGGGTGAGTGGGAACGTATGTACATGGAGAAATGGTGGCATATGCACAGGGGTGCTCACAACCCCTACAGCAATAACAGCACGCACACAAGACAGGGCAGAGATGAGGTGCCGAAGGTCGACAACCATACCACTGCCACACAAACACACCACCACACCACTACCACACACAAACGCCCCTACCACACAACCACATCACTACCACACAACCACACACACACGCCACAACCACAAACCCACAACACCACACAACCACACCCCCACATCACTACCACACAATCACTCCGCCACACTACCACACAACTACCACATACCTTCAAAGTCGAACTCGTCGTCCTCATCCACCACCTCCACAATGTTGTTTACGGCGCCGCTGCGGTCGTTAATCTGTGGCTGGTCAGGGTTGTAGCACCACTCCTCATCTACGATGAACTTGTACTGGTAGGTGCCTATGGGCAGATCCAGAGTAAGAGAGAACTCTTCCTGACTGTGTGGGTGTACTTGCAATGTGAGCAATGTGTGCTGGTATGTACAACGAGAGAGTCACACGCAGTAGGATGCTATACATAGTACATACAGCCATACAGATACAATATTTATGAGAATATACAGATAAAATATATAAGAAACCATACACATACTATACATATGAAACCATGTACATACTATACATATGAAACCATACACATACTATACATATGAAACCATACACATCATACATATGAAACTATACTCATACTATACATATGAAACCATACACATACTACACATATGAAACCATACACATAATAATATACTATACATATGAAACCATACACATACTATACATATGAAACCATACAGATACTATACACAGTACAGTGAAGGTCTGTAACATCCGATTAAACTCATAGCACCTTTGCGATCAGACGCATAAAGAGGCGCAGGATGCTATGCACAACCCTCACGCACCTTCCCGAGAGAGGGACTTCTACGCGCTTGCCCCAATCGTTGAATGTGCCGGTGACCCACACCTTCTGCGCTGGCCTGTGGTTCCACGTAAATGCCGTGGGCATCAGTTTTACTGCACAAGAGAAGAGATGGGCCACGGGTATAAGGCTGAGCCAGACATGTCTAAGCTAAGGGTTGTGTTCATTTGAGCGTATCTTATCATACGGGATTACACCCTTGATAATAGACAAATGCAGGGGGGTCTCCAAAACGAAGGTGTGAGCTTGGCGTAGACAGCCGCGATAGACTTTCTCCGACATAACAAGACGGTTTTACGTATACGTTAACTATCGATGAAACGTAAACATCAGGTGTGACATCAAACGGTGTTTGAAATTAATCCCCGAACATTCCAAGATATGTAGGTATCGATTGTGACATACCATATACGATAAAACACTCAACCTTTAAACACACACAAACACGAACGCCTACCCTTTTCTTTCTCAGGCTTTACAACGGGTTCACTCATCAGCGGTGATTCGGCATGTGACCCGAAAATAAGTGGTGATTCTGTCGTCTCCGGCACATCTACAGGCTTGCTTCGGGGGTAGGATGTACTACAGGTGGTTTCAGAGGTGAAACAAACAGATGAACATATGGGCAAAGACGGGTTAGGAGAGAGAGGGAGGGGGGAGTGCTTGTCTTGTTGTGATGTCAACGATTGCCCTAAGCGTGCTTGGTTTGTGCGCAAGTTGTGATCAAGCGTAGTTAATAAATAGTCCGTGTTTAAGAAAAAAAACTATAATATAAAATATATGGAATGTCACGCGCAGTCACTAGTCTGTGGATAGAGTCGACTAACTTTAGTATGAACATGGATCAGATAATATATATATATA